CAAATGAGCAAAAGGAAGCTTAGCATACCAGAGGCCTTGCTGAGATACGTGTTCCAGAGGGTGGGAAATAAACTCTACAGAGATCTGGAGATCTGCCATTCCTATAGTTTTTAGATGACCTGTACTAAGAGGCATCTGGAACATCCCCTACAAAGTAAAACACAACTTGTTACATTTACATCACCTGCTACATGGAAACACGCACAATGCCTGGTGGATCTCTCTAGATTATGGAGGCAACACATTTTGCCTAGAAACACTATCCCTGCCTATATACTGGATGGTGTAAAAAGTAACTTAGTTTGACTAGGGTCTGGAACAAGAAAGGGCTCTGTAGAAGATTCAGGCTGTGATGCAAGTAGCCCTGCAAGTTGGGCCATATAATCTGGTGGACCTTATGGTATTCTAGGTACCACTGGTAGAAAATGATGCCAATGCAGCCATTTTTGTCAAAGAGGCTCATGGAACTGTGGAGGAGCTGTTCCCCAAACGTATGTGCGAAGAGATCTATGCAGCATATATTAGAGGTGGAATGTGGTTGCCACAGGTGTGCCACTGAGATCTCTTCAAGAAAACCTGATGTGGGGGCTTCCCTGGTGGCGCAGTGGTTGAGAGTCCGCCTGCCGATGCAGGGGACACGGGTTCGTGCCCCAGTCCGGGAAGATCCCACATGCTGCGGAGCGGCTGGGCCCGTGAGCCATGGCCGCTGAGCCTGCGCGTCCGGAGCCTGTGCTCCGCAACTGGAGAGGCCACGACAGTGAGGGGCCCACGTACCGCAAAAAAAAAAAAAAAAAAAAAGAAAAGAAAACCTGATGTGAAAAAAAAAAGCCGGAGGCACACTTCCTGATTTCTAACCATGTCACAAAGGTTTAGTAAACAACCATATGGTGTTGGCATAACAAAAGACACATAAACCAATGGAACAGAGAGCCTAGAAACAAACCCGTACATATATAGTCAATTAATTTACAATGCGGGATACAAGAACAGACAATGGGAAAAGGACAGTCTCTTCAATAAATGGTGTTGGGAAAACTAGACAGCCACATGCAAAAAGACTGAAACTGAACCCCTACCTTAAACTATACACATATACCATACAGAAATATTAACTCAAAATGGATTAAAGACCTAAGAGTTGAAAACATAAAACTCCTAGAAGAGTTTTCTAGGCGTTAACTAATAGGTAGTAAGCTCCTTGCCATTGGTCTTGGCAATAATTTTTCGGATTAGACACCAAAAGCAAAAATAAACAAATGGGACTACATCCAACTAAAAAGGTTCTGCAGAGGAAAGGAAACCATGAACAAAATGAAAAGGCAACATACTGAACAGAATATGTGCAAATCAAATATCTGACAAGGGGTTAATATTGAAAAAATATAAATACAACTCAATAGCAAAAACAATCCAACATAAAAAATGATCAGAGGAATTGATTAGACATTCTTCCAAAGACATACAAGCAGCCAAAAGATACGTGAAAAGGTGCTCAACATCACTAATCATCAGGAAAATGCAAATCAAAACTCCAGTGAAGGTCATCTCACACTTGTTAGAATGGCTATGCTCATAAAAAAACAAACAAACAGGTAGATGAATGCTAGTGAGGATGTGGAGAAAAGGGAAACTTTGTGCCTGCTGGTAGGAATGTAAGCTGGTGCAGCCACTATGGAAAATGGTATGGAGGTTCCCCAAAAAGTTAAAAAATAGAACTGTCGTATGATCCAGCAATTCCACTTCTGGGTATACACCTGAAGGAAACAAATTTTTTTTCCTTGTCTCAAAGGAAAAAAAAAAAACCACCTCATAGGAAGAGATCAGATTTGTGGTTGCCAGAGACTGGGGGTTGGGGGGAAATGGGTGAAAGTGGTCAAAAGGTATAAACCTCCAGTTGTAAGATGAAAAAGTCCTGGGGATGTAATGTACAACATGGTGACTATACTTAACAATACTGTATTGTATATTTGAAATTTACTAAGAGAGTAGATGTTAAAAGTTCTTATTACAAGAAAAAAAATTATAACTATGTGAGGTGATGGATGTTAAACTTGTGGTAAATATCTTAGAATACTTACACACATCAAATCATTGTTATACACTTTAATACAATGTGATTTGCCAATTATATCTCAATTAGGCTGGGAAAAAAGAAAACCTGAAGCAAACAGCCTCCAGCTCTAACAATAAACTTTTAAAATTACAACAATCACTAAACAAGAGGGGGAGATTATCCCAAACCGTCCACATCTCTTGACTCTACACAACGTTCAGTAACACAGATTTCAATGGCTTAATCTCTCAAATTTATACCATGTACCATTTTAGAGATCATGGAATAGCTGAGTACTCAGGCAACCTCTAGAAGCCTGTTTCACGAAGCCCTCACCTTTAAAGGATTCTTCCTGTGTAATTAGTAGCTGAGTACAGAACTAAAAAATTAAACCACCCACTAAGGCCATCTGTTTGTAGTACTGAAGTCCTTATTTACTAAGCTTTTAAGTATGAAAAATTTTGAAGGATTCGGTGTCTTAACATTTTTAGAAACATACACCCTTCTGTCCTGATATTTCTACTTACGGCTAACTTTAACGAGAATATCAACTTTTCCACCTTTCATAACTACCAAAGCACCATTCTTGGTTCATTACAAAGAATTTCAATACATCTGTTTTCCTATCACAGCAAATAACCTCAAACTCTACTGCTAACAAAGCCTCAATTTAGAGAAGTAAAATTCACGGATCATTGCCTAAGGTATATTCAATCCACCCATTCCTCTAGAGTAAGGATCAATCTGTTTTGTACAAACTGAGCTAAGAATGGTTTTACAGTTTTAAAGGGTTATTTTTTTTTTTAAGCAAGAGACTGTATGTGGACGGCAAAGGCTAAAATACTTAGAATTTGTCCTTTCAGAGAGTAAAATCCCTGGTTCCAAAGAGCAGTGTTTCTTAAAGTCACCGTCACTGACAAAAGATTTAGGGCAGTGATTCTCAAACATTATTATGAATAAGTCACTTGAGGAGTTTGTCAAAAAGCAGACTCCTGGCAACCCAAAAATTCAGGTTTAGGACCCTGGAACCTAACAAATAATCCATGTGATCATGATATAGGTGGTTATAAGGACACTTCGAGAAAATTTCATCACAGGATCAGCTCAGACCATCAAAAAGACTTCTTACTGGACTGACTTTAGTGGACTAAATTTTAGTGTCATATTGATTTGCACTGCGGGACATCTCATGATCAGGAAACATTGCTATTCCTGTACAATATATCTGCTTCTATCTTAAGGTTACCATGAATTTTCTAACTTTATTCAACTCTTTGTCAATTCTGTCCACCTCTATCACAGCAAATGTACAGGATCTGATAGCATGCATATGCATTTTAACCCTTCTTTTCACCTTATTCTTTTCTGTATTTTGGTTTCATCCCAATCTTCTGTTTGTTTTAATACATTTATATTAAGTCTCCTCAAATCATTTTTGGGAAAACAAGTCATACTATCCTAAACTATTCCTTATGGCACATGGTATGCATTTTCCTTACTTAATTCTCTCGGTTTAGGAGCAAGAAAAGAATATGTTATGAGCTGACAGGGGGGAAAAACCTGGAAAAAAATGGGATAAAAGGTTTTTTAAATAAATATAAAATTCCTCAGCCAATGAAATGTGGGAATGAGGAATAATCCGTCTATATTAGGAGAAATCTCACACACACATACACACACACACACACACACACACTCACACATAAAATGATCCAACCAAAAGAGTTTAAAAGGAGCTTAAATAAGAAAACTGAAAGGAAATCATGGACTTCCCCGGTGGCACAATGGTTAAGAATCCACCTGCCAATGCAGGGGACCCAGGTTTGATCCCTGGTCCGGGAAGATCCCACATGCCGCAGAGCAACTAAGCCTGTGCGCCACAACTACTGAGCCTGCACTCTACAGCCCGCGAGACACAACTACTGAGCCCGAGTGCCACAACTACTGAAGCCTGTGCACCTAGAGGCTGTGCTCCACAACAAGAAGTCACCACAATGAGAAGCCTGAGCACCGCAATGAAGAGTAGCCCCCGCTCACCCGCGTGAAAGCCCGCGTAGCAACAAAGAACCAACGTACCAAAAACAAATGAATAAAATAATTTTTTAAAAAAAGAAAATCAAGAAAGAAAACCTTACAGACTTCCATTCTGAGATGAAAAAAGATTTGGTATGTCTTGAATAAGATTTCAAAAATCAAAATTTACAGAATTAAAAGACAGTATTTATTAAATGCTCAACTATGTGCTAAGAATTATACATGTATTATAGCTTAGCTAATACTTACACATTAGACTAGCAAAGTAGGTACGGTTCTTTCCATTTTTTTACAAACACTCCTTTATGGCTTGCAGAAGGTGACCTGTCCAAAGACCATTTAAACTGTAAGTAATGAAATCAGAATTTGTATCAGTATCTGCTTACAAAGCCCATGCTGTCAAAGCTTACAAAGCCTATTTTGTCAAAAGTACTAGGGCTGCCTCTGTATACACATGTATATTATTAGATCCCCTACAGTTCAAATAAAGTAGGTCAGACATGGGCTCCAGTCACAAGATTAAAATGTAGTGAGCAATGCTATGACAAGTGTGTGCTAGAGCCTTGTCAGAGTGAAACAGAAAAAAGGCTGCATTTCTTCAGAGATAAAAACACAGCAATAATTATTCAGCATGGACAGATAAACTGAGATGAAAGAGGCAGGAGAAAATCCAAATGCACATTTTAGTGCCTATCTTTGTGCCAAAAGGAGTAATCATATCAGAATATTTTATAGAGAGATCAGTCTGTCAAGAACCAAGGAGTTTCATCTTGCAAAAAGTGAAGAAAAAAAAGAGAATGACACATGTGGAGCTAGACATCAAGTCTAGATATGCAGACTGAAGTGAACCCATACAAAATGGAGTGAGCAGAAATAACTGACAAAAGAACAAACCATACTCCATGCTATTTCATTTCCAGTTCTGGTGTTTTTATTTTAGAAAGCATATTGAATTAAACAGGTTAGAGCTATTGCTTCCTTGTTCTGTGTACTTCTATCCTCCATTTGAAAAAACATACTGTCTTCATCCATTCTGTGAGATCAAAAGAACCTAGGGGGGAAACACACAGAGCTCACTTAAATCACAGTTTTAAACAGTCTTTATAATTAGGATGAGAAAAAAGAAAAGGAAAATAAGAAAATTAACTAATGTGACAATAAAAAAATACAAAATGTCTAGACTGCCAAAAAGAATCATAACCCTTTTTGTAATTACCACATTTCATCTTGGTGATCTCAGCTGACAAAGGTATACTAAGGTATATCATTCATTAAAAATTAAAGGCTTAAACCTGTAACAGGTTTAAAAGAGCAACCTTACTTCCCAGATTTGCTTGATTCTTCTTCAGGAGAAACTATTCTTATTTCCTGAAATTTCTTCTCTCTAGAATCAACAATTCAATTTATAGGTCCATTATTTTATCTACTTTTTCAAGATGCTGCCAACATAAAAGCCAAAACTTTGGTCTTCATCACTGGAGTTTTGTGAGACTTATTTCAGTAAGACATCCATGTAAGCATACTTTCCTAGTGACTGATTTAAACTGTACTATAGAGATAATTTATATTTTACAAAAATCAACCCAATTTTAGACACTGAATTTCATATTAAAAAATACAATCATACAAAAGATGTGTCAGCAATATTACTCCTTGAAAACCCTACAATATAGACAATTGTGTTTTATGTTAGCACCAAGAGGAAAAAATTGAGGTAAGAACATTTTTTCTAAAACATCACAGAAAGTTATTATAGCAAAATGCCTGAACAAACAAAACTAAACTTAAATGTTCTTACTCTAGTGCTCAAGACTACATTTTCAATAAATTATATAATGAGCAATAAATTTTGGTTCAGATTAAGATTCAAGCTTCTTTCAGTTCTAAAGCACTGACATCTCCATATAATAACCAAAATTTGTGACAAAACTCTTTTTAGAAGTTTAGAAATTCTAACCATATTAACTAAGGCATGTATTCTTGTGTTCCATACTAATATATGTAAAACTGTATTTAGCATTAAACAACTTTTTAATAGAAGGTGACTTCTTTTTATACTATTAAAAAAAAAAACAGAATTCACCATGTATTTAAACAATAATATCAGTTACTCTAGCTTCATGTTACGATAAATCCTTTATTCCAAGTATACACAGTAAGTCCATTTAACTATCTACTTCCCCTTGCTAACCTGTCAGAAAAAAAAAATTCAGAATATAACGTTTCACCTTTGTTGCAGATTGATTCATTATCCAGAACAGAAATAAAGGTAGGCCAGAGGAGAGGTAGAGGATTAGTGGTATAATAGATCTAAGAGATCCACTTCTCTTCTCTCTTGACCAGAAATTGCAAAGAACCTCTTTGCATCTTCTCTTAACAAGGGACACTTTTTTATTCTCAAACCCTGTAAATGATGTACTCATTAATTCTATGTACAAACCACCTAAAATGGCTGCCCACAGCTTGCCTTAGTATCCTAACCACAAGCCCAAACAGTGACAACTTTCTTTCTAATTCACAGCGGTCTCATTGCAGAGCACTTCACTTATTCAGTACTACAGCAGATTTTGAAGAATGCACGCCACATAATGCAAAGAGCACCATATTGGCAGTTAGGACACTTCAGATGTAGTCCTGGCTCTGTAATCTTAGTTACTAACTTCTCTGAACGTTAGTTTCTTTACCAGTAAATCCAAGATTGTAGTATACTACCTCTAAGCTTTCCACTTTAAAAATTCTAAACTTCTATGGTAGGCCTCTGTAGGCCAGCAGTTGAATCTGTTATTACAGATACTATAGTAAAACAAGTAGTTGAGTGAATAAACTGATCTGCAACTTATTAAAAGAATGGAAAATTACAGTCTTTAAATCTAGGGACTTCAAAATATCACTTCATTTCTTTTATTCAGCCTCATCAAATTCTAAAATGTAGAAAATCACAACACTGGTACTGATGCCCATGTCTGAAGGCAGCTGTTCATGGAAAGGAAACAGACCTATTTACCAGAGAGAACACAAATGAAAATGGGGACACACACACACACAGAGGAATAGGTGGGCAGAGACAAAAAATGACAACATTGGAAAAATAAAATCCCGAGGGACTGAATGACTAAAGAGAGAGATACCAAACCAGGAAAGCAGAAGCACAACTGAAGAAACAGTAAGAGAAGAAGGGCAGAGACAGATAAGCAAGACAGAAAGGTGAATATGCAGAACGGAACTGATGGGCAGGTACAGTGACAAGGAAATGGGACTAGAAAGGAAAGAGACAGCCAGAAGAAAAGGTCATTTTTACCACAAAATATTGTCAAATTACATACTTCTGTAGTTATCCCCCCAGTGCTCACACTAAAAAGGGGACACTTTCATTTTTACAAAATGATTAACAATGCATACTTCATTTATCTTGCAGATTTTTTTTAAAAATTCACATTTACTGTGAGATAGCATAATTTTTGCCATCATTAAGGTCTACATATTGGATATGATAATAACTCTTTCACAATGTATATCAAATCATCATCTTACAATTTTATCTGTCAGTTATACCTCAATAAAGCTGGGGGGAAAAAAAAAGGTTTCACACGTATCAATATACTGGAAATCCCTAATTTTACATATTGCTCATTTTTTTTCCAAATTAAAGAATGATAGTACCCCAGAGTTAGGACAAATTCATCCTACGTCAAGAATTTACAGGCATTCATGATTACACACCACAGTGACTTACAGGACACTGGTATCATATTGAAAACACAGTCTTGAAATTAACTTACCATTTAAGAGTCAAGATCAGGGATCGTAGTCCTGTTTCCATTTTTGCCCCCTTTGCTTGTCGTGGTATGTCATGCTCTATCGCTTCTCCTATGCAGATTCTGTCAGTAGCCATCAATCTGAAGAATTCTTTCTTCTGCTGCCACCTACCAGTTTATTTCTCTGCTGCAGCAGAAGAGTATATAGAAAAAGTTCTTGCTTACTATTCATATTAAACAGAAAAATCCCTTAACATTTCATATTTTCACATGTGTATGAAGTTCCTGTTTCCCCGAAACCTCCCCTCCAAGTTAAAACAACAAAAATCCCAATCACAGAAGATCAAAACACGTGTGATCAATGTTCATGCTAAGCTGGAGGAGGGGGGAGCTGGAAAGATTTAGACACTCAGCAGCTTCCATCTCAAGGAGCCATTCCTTTTCTGTTACTTTCCTTCTTCACCTGTCCCTACAAATAATAAATGCATAACTTAAAATTTTAACTAGGTAGTCAACTCCTCCAAATTTTAAGTTCAGAGACTACCAAAAGACTTGTGGAAGATGCAGCAATAAAGGAGTTTTTAAAAGTAATTCTAGAAACTAAGGGTGTTAGGCGCTTTACCTGCTTGAGTTTTCATGTTCTGGACTGCTTATTGCCCAATGGCTCTGAATACATTAAAACACGAACACATACGCCACCTACATTTAAAATAGGGTAGCATTTGTATGCCCATATAAGCAATGGGTATATTTTTTGCAAAAGAGTAGTAATTTCATTAGGTCCTTTTAAAAGGACTGACCACAAATGCACATTTCCTCAAACTGTATACATACATAAAAGAATTAAGGGCAAAAAAGCGAGAGTGACAAAGGTAATAGCGGTTGTAGAACTGGAAATTAATACCACATAAATGTTTTGTTTTTTAATATCCTGAGATTCATTTCTATTCCCAGTCTCTTTATTATTGAGGTCTAAGTTTCAAATTTATTCTTTATTCGCTACTAAAGAACAATATGCTAGAATGAGCTAGTGATAACGATGAACTAGTAATAATAGCTTTTGTTCCACCCTCCCACTACCTTTACCCCAAAATAAAAACTTATTTTGTGAACTTAAAAAATAAAACAAACACTGACATAAGCACCAAAGGCTAGTCAACAGTGGCACTGCCGTGACATTGTTTCTACTTTCTCATTCCTTCCCCCATCTCAAGCCCCACCCTTTGACCTCTGATTATGGGATGAGCCTGAGCAGGAGAGTTGGTGATGTCAGGACTGCGCCGTTCCCACGGATGCTCCTAGAGGCCTGCTGTGCTTCTGGGAACTGGGGCACAGGGATGGCTGTCTGACTGAAACCTAAAACAACAACAATTCACCCCACCCCTCATGTTCCCAAACCCCACAGTAGCAGCCAGGTATATATACTATATAAGGACCATCTAATATAGTTTGAATATGGTGAAATCTGAAAGCAAGATCATTTTTAACATGACAGTGATCTTGGGGGGTGCGGGGGGCAGCGGAATGGAGGTTCATAAATCCTCCACATCCCATGCAACCACAGAGTGCACACATGCTAATGCTAGCCATTCTCATTAGCAAGAGAACAAGATCCTTCCATATGTCATAAATTACTGCAGGAGTGCAGCCAGGATTCCTTTGTTGGTAAATTTCAGTTCAAGACATAAATATGTTTATCTTAAGATGCTTAGGGGAATGACTGTCCCTACCTCATGTGAGTGAACTGAAGCACAAAACAAGTTTATGACTTATTTTATGCCTTCAGCTGTAGAAACAGCATTACAAGCCAGGATTTCCTATTCCCTAACTAGTGAGTTACTAGACTTCCAGCCTCCTTGGATAGGGCATCCAAAGAGAAATATATCTTGAAAAGGTCCTGACTACTGACACTGAAATTCTACCTATCAGAAAGAGGATTATCTCCCATAATGATAATAACTCATATTAGAGCTAAAACTTTGGAAAGGACAGGAAAAAGGAGGAAAAGGGTAGGGGGACTGGGGCAGACAGGAAAGGAGAGTAGTATTAACTAACAGGAAGGCTATTAAAATGGATAAGTTGTATTCCTGTTCCTGCCATTAACTTTGTTTTATGGGCTTGATTAATCTGCTCCAAGATCTTGTGCTTCAGAAATGCCCTCCAATCTGTTCAAACCTATAACTTTTCAATATTTAAACCATTACTTAATGATAATCTCGAATGGCTGACATCTATCTCTTTGTTAGAATTAGTGCATCAGAAATGCTAAAATCATTAACTCTGAAATCACGCTGCTCCTGAAATAACTGAAATGCTATTACCTTTTGTCTCATTACCTTTCACTTTTATAATGAAGCCACAGAAAGAGAAGCACTACTAAGGTCAACTGAAGGCTATGTTGAGTTTTTACCATATATATAACCTAGAACCTAATTTTACCTTTTCAAAACTCTAGTTTTCCATACCTGTCCACTCCTAATTGATGTCTTTATACTGTGAGCTCACTGTGTATTCGGAACACCAACCCCTGAAAAAGCTTAAGCCAGAGTAGCACAATGGAAGAAACATACAAACCCAAAACAAAAACAAAGCTAAAAAAGTCACACTCTGAAATAATTATAGACATATATGCAAGGAATGGAGATATCTAAATGGCTAAAACAAATCCCCAAAGAAAGTCCTGGGTTCATCCCAACCAGTTCAAACTTTACCCCCAAAACTTTTTCTATAACCAAATTATTTGCTAGATATGTTTATACATTGTTTTTTGAAATCCAAGTTATATTACAAACCCATTGGTGCCTTCAAAGTACATAAAAGAAAGGAAATTTTAAAAAGAAAGTAAAGTTAGCCTTGTGATGAAAAAAAGGAGAAAGAATCAAATTACCTGCCAGCAGGCTGGGGCTGTGCCTGAATCCAAACCGCTGCATTTACCATTCATTCTACAGCTGCATTATTGGGGGAAGGGGAGTTTAGAAGGGCACTGACCCCGAAAGTTCTCAATACTTCTCACTCATCATCAGGAAGGGGGAAGAAGGAAAGTTTTTTCTCTGGGTATTTTTTTGTTTGTTTGTTTTTGTTTTTTTGTCTCCTGAAAAGGCTGGCAAAGAACAGTAATAGTGCAAGCAGTTAGAATATTTCTTTAAAAACAATTTTAAAAATGCAAAACATTAAGGAATTTAAAACACCACATTTTCGTTAATATAGAAAGAATTTTCACTAGAGTTAGGCAGCCACCCCAAAACAGCATGGCAAAAGGGCATTGGTATAAAGGAAATAAAATACCACACAAAAATCCAAAACAAAACTAAAAACATTTCAAATTAAACCTGGAAGACTAGAAGATTCCAACAGCAGATTTCTGTCCACTACTGAAACATTCCAAAATCCAAGCTTCAAAGGCGCCTAAATGTATCTTAAATGAAATTTTGTTTTGTTTGGTTTAAGAAAAAAAAAAAAGAAAGAAAGCAGTGAACCTGGTTATAAATCCTGCAATATATTACATTTAAAAATATCCTAGTACGACAGAAACAAATTATAAAAGAAATTAAACAAACAAACAAACAAATAAAAACAGTAGCAGCAGAGGTTACCTGTCTGAGCACCTACATTTTCTTAGGAGGGGATCGTGTCTCACCAGCCATATAGCCCATAAACCTTCTCAAAAAGAGTGAGCCAGGAGAAAAATGTAACACAAGATTTGATTTCACAATGTCTCTAAGCGCCCCAGACCCCAAACTGGGGACTCACTGAATGAAGAGAATTTCTTTTTCCTTTGTTTTCTTCTTGAGAAAAAGAAGAGATGATCTTGAAAGTCAATTACTTCTTTCAACGCCTTCTATACCTTTTCAAAAGTCTGATAAAGCACTTGATGAAAGCAAGTCTCTTGATGGATTTTTCTAATGTTCCAGGGTATTTTCTTATTTGATAGCATATACAGAAATACTTCAAAGTTCAGTGGAGTTAAAGCCAACAGAAATGACCAATCAAAAGAAAATAACTATTAAGAATTTTAAATGGAATAGTTCATATTTGTGTGTTTATGTATATATACATAGTCCACTTTTCATCATGGGTGACAAAAACAATATCAGAAAGAATTACTTTTAAATACAATTCAGAATTACAATTTTAACAATGTACAATACTTTTACAATAATTCAGATTTTTGCATGATAAAATAACAACTATACATATTTGATAAATACACATTTTTACCTCTCATAATAGCAATAAAGATCTTAAAGTTACTCAACAATATGAAAATATATTTAACTTTCACTTAAATATCTGGGCTGTTTTATTTGGGTTCTTCCAGTATGGTTTGCTCTTACTCTGTTTTGTTTTTTTTTTTTTTTTGCTCTTATTCTTTACCTTACTTTTTGAAGGAATTCAAGAGGATATTCATGTTTTTAAACTCTAAGATGTCCATTCAGTGTACGATCCAGAAATAGTTGGTAAGGCTATGTTTTAACATAGTGTGAATGCACAAAAGATGGGCAGTGAGTAAAACTAACAGTGAAATAATCTCAGATATTTCTTCTAACGTACTTGGCTAATTTGATAATTTTTTTAAAAGGCTACCTACATTTTTCCTGGTGCCTTATCCCACCCAACAGAAACCTTGAGTTTTTCATCAAATAGACAGGGTGTTCTATTTGTGTTTTAAAATTCACTAATCTATATACATGTGACATGTAACTATTCAAAGTATATGTATCATAATCTATATGGCAACCAGATGGTCTCTACACACATATGAATGATGATTTAATGAAGCGATTCCTTCTCCCTTGTTTATTTCTCTATCCCGAATAGTGTGCATCTTCCAAAGTATGGTCATTTAGTAAAAGAAGTACCAAGTGAGCCAGAGGTACTTATATATTCCACAATATGTCGCACAATAACCCTGTACAAGTCAAATTCTTTTAGATGAGATGAGAATATCCTAAAATAAATTAGAAAGTCCTCTTATGTATCTTTTTCTAAGGTGAAATGAGACACTGCACAGATCAGAGGTACTATTCTATTTGTCAACAATCAACCTTTCACTCCATTTTAATATTATTTAATTCTATGGAAAAAACACGTTTTATTACATTCCTTTTTTAAAATGGGGGAAAAACTGTACAAGTAAGCATGATCAAACCTCTGTTAGAGCTGGTTAATACTGATCTTATTGCCTCGAAGTCTCTCTAGTAGTGTCCAAGAAATTATGTTTAATGTCCATCTGAAGGAAAAAAGCACTGGAGAGGCAAGAAAGGACTCGGGTAAAAAGCTTCAGAGGATTGTAGGGAGATGGAACTTGCCGCTTAAAAAAATTACGTTGAGCTCTGGTGCATCTCCATTTCTTAACACACCTTCCAAACCATTCACTGGGATAGTTTTACCCATGTTTAAAGGCTCATATTATATGCAGTTTGGGGGCTTTTATAAATTCAGAAATAAAGTAATATAAAGAGTAGAATATTGAAGGCTTCAGAGTAGGGCTATAAGAGACTCAATACTGCTAAATAAGTCCCCAAACAAAAACGGTCAGTCCACCCCAACCCAAAACCTATGTGTAATAGGAGAAAATGCACAGCAAGAAGCAGAGGAAAAGCATGTAGCCTGGAATAAATCATACACTGAACAGTCTAGAACCAAAGAAAAAAAGCAAACAACATACATATACACAAAAGCCTAAGCAGCAGCCATTCTCCTCATGTCTTTAGGTGAGTACCTCTACCAGTAGATTACTGTTATGAAAACGACTCAGTTGTTTTTTTTTTTAAAGTAAAAAACTGTTTCCCATCATGCTCCATTTTCTAGAATCTTTCCTTTTTGATTGGTTGGTGTAAACAAAAAGCAAAGCACATAAACATGCAAGCGTGCACGTGCGTGCACACACACGCACGCGCACACACACACCCTCCTAAAATGTGAAAAATGCAGATATATAACGCTGGTATTAGAAATCACTTCAACTTTATACTTAGGAACTTATAGACCCTTGATTTGCCCCCCAAAAATATTCTTCCTTGTCCTTATTCTTTAAATGCCCAACCACCAAAAGAAAAAAGGAAAAAAATAAAAGGCTTTAAATGCACATGTTTCAAGTCAGTGTCTTGTTAACAAAAAAGGTAGCATTTTCTTCACTTTGGCCATTGTTAAAGATGCAGGCATAGATCAGGGAATGTTAAGACTAGCATGTATTTAAAAAAAAAAATGCAACATTAACAGAGCATATATCTTTCAAAAAAGGCTAAAACACTAACAAATACAAGTCAATGCACATATTTTTAACTAGTGCAATTTCATCTACAATGGAGTAAATGTTATTTTGTGTGCCAGACATTGCAATACTGTTCATTTCCCTTTTATCATGCAAACATGCCAACTTTATCATTAAAAAAAATCTTTATTGGGTCACATTCACGTTGCCCTCCCACCCAAATTAAGGGGGAAAAAGTCAATAACAGAGCTCCTCAAGATTTTGTAACTATGAACATAAAGCTATCCTAGATAATAGTGTATAGGCTGAATTTTCAGATTTGTATAAAAAAATTGTAATTTAGGTAGATGTCTTCCTCACGGTTTACAACACAATGTGAAGTTACACTACTCTGAAATTTGTACCAACTGTACAAAAACAAAAGCAAGAGACCATGAAAAAATTATGTTCTTCATGGCCTGAGAGCCTACACATTTCTCTGAGTAATGTAAAACTACGAGAGCCTGACATTTTTCTGTATCTCACCTCTTCTGCCTCTCTATCTGTAGGATTTGTAAATCAAAGTCAGTAACATCTTAGTAGCAAAGGTCTCGTCTATCTCCCCATTCTTCCTTCCTAACTAATCCTACTCAATTTTCTCTCATCTTTCTGAGCATTTTCCATGAACAGCATTGCAAGTTGGTTTAAAAAAAAAAAAAGAAAAAGAAAAAGAAGAAAGAAAGAAAAAAAGGAAAGAAGAAAAAGAAAGTTTTACAAGGGTTTTGTTGGTTAATTATTTACTGGTGGACTCACTCCACCAGGAGTTTGATTTCATTGGCTAGCAGTTGGTTCATGTTGAATAGGCCCCCCGGGAGCTTGGTGAGCAGCTCTCGCTCCGTGGTTTCAGGGTCGCTGTCAACAGAGCTGGAACTTGCGCTCATGTTGTCGACAGCAGTGTTGGCTGGGGGACCCAGCTCCGGCTCACTAGTCTCACTGGCCGTGGACACCACGGAGAGCAGGGACATACGCCGGGTGAGCCGGCCAGAGGGCAGAAGGGAGGCGGCATAGTCCGCTATGATACCAGCTACATCTAGATTACAAGCCTTATCAAAGGCTATGAAACCTACATTTGCATTGGCCTCGCAGACACAGAAGGAGCCGTCGTCTTTCGTCAACAGGTCAATGCCACACACATCCATTCCCAGGATATTAGACACCTGGATAGCTAGCTGTTTCCCTTGTTCACTCAATGAGCACATCATCCCGACACCACCTGGCAAAAGAGAAATAAGATAAGAAGTTACCAAAATGATAAAATTTTGGAGTAAAACTAAAGCTGACCTTAAAGTTAGCCTCTAAGGCTAAACCTCTCTTCTAAATCAGTAGAATAGCAAAAGTGTTATTCTAGTGTAAAATTGGGACTCTGAAGTCTAAGATTCTTTCATTAGGGAATCCCCTTCCAACGCAGTCTCTCGACAAATTCATGACTTAGTACTTTTTCCATATGCTATTTTTTTCTGAAGACATTAAACTTTCACTGAAGCCTATCTTACTTGCAATCACATGGAACTGTTGCATAAATACAGTTAAACCACTTAATGTTGTTATTGGTTTTTATCAGTTTCAGATTTTGATTTGTAAAAATAGAGATGCATAACAAGGACAGAGGACAGAATCTAGGAACATGCTTTTCTTCCTCCACAGTCCCAATTCTAATCTCTTTGCTGTTCCTAAGCCAAAAGTATTCTGGGGTTTCAGGTAGCTGGAGGAGTGTATGTGAAGTCTTCGCTGGTATCTGAGAGAAAAGAATTAGAACTAGTTGGAGACAGTTTCAAGACTAGAAAGGACTAGATAAGGACTAGAAAGCAAAAGAATTTTGACAAAACCTTGGCTTAAGGAGGTCAACAGGAGGAAAGCTGACATCAGTACTATGTAAGTATGCCTGACCCAAAGAGACCAAAGGTAAATGCACATATGACCAGAGTCCCCCTTACCACTGTGGCTGGAAGAGTATGGGGAGGGGAGTGCAGGAAGGAGGGGACTGGCACACTAGCCAATGAATTAGATGACACTGCTTCTCAGCATCCATAGTACTGAGGCCATCTGGAAAGCTCCAAATAACCAGAGCAGAGCTCTGATGTGACGTGACAATAACAAATAACAAGCTATGACTTGAATGAAAGAAATAAGAGCACAAATTCAAGTTTAGCACAAAAAGACTCTCTGAACTAACACAAAAACATGATTACCCAACTTAAAAGTTTCAACAGAGGAACTGAAGGAGAGTTGCTTTTGTGAGTCTAACTTATAACTTGGAAAATCTACTGTAAGAAATATTTTGAAGCACATACAAAAAACCTGAGGTGAAGTCACAAAAGAAGGAGAAAAAATTTGGATAACTGAATCAGAAAAACCCTAACCCCCAGAAGGAGAGAAGAAATTTTCCTGAAGCTTAGAAAAACTGAATCTGATAGAAACAGCTTACTAAAATCCAGGTTGGACTGACTGAGAAGAGACACATATCTAAAAATATCCTGACAAAACTGTTACGCATTTCAAATAAAACAACCAAAAATAAGAGAACAAAACAAAACAAAAAACAAACTTACAAAGAATATAAATTAACTACCCCCCTCCCAAAATCAAGAGTAGATTTGGACATTCAATTGCAAAAGTGTAAACTGTAGAGCAGCAGAACAGAAGCAAGACGCACACAATTTAAGAATCCTATCTCAGCCAATATATCATTCTCCTTTGAGAAAGACAGCAAGCTATGAGGTATCTATCACTCACATACACCATCCAGGGAAAATAATCAAGAAGAGATACTAACATAACAGCAAATGACTAAGGACAGAAAACTCAAGATATGGGAAGATGCAGATGGGGAGTAAAGAGTGACTAGTAGTGTGATTCTTGCAATACAGGTGTAATTAACTCTAAACAGATAAAGACTGCCTGGGAATGGATAAAGTAAGTGCTACATAAGGATTCTTGAAACAGAAGAGACACACAATAAAAGAAATTCTATTATAGACTTGAACTAAAACTATTAAATGGTTTCAGAAAAACACTGGAATACAAAGCCCAGGGAAGCAGAAATTTGTGTCTGTTTTGTTCACTGCTATATAGAAAATACTGCTATAACAGCACTTGATACTTAGGAGGTACTCAAAAATATTTGTTCAGTGAATGAATGAATCAAGAGGGAGGAGTAGGAAGGGAAGTAAAACTGTTCTAATCCTCTCATGGGAAGAGAGAGGGAACAAGAGGTGATGCATTTTGAGAGTAGAGATTTCAAGGAGTTTGGATATGAGGGGTTAGACTAGAGAGGAGATCAAGAATGACTCCAAGGATTTTGGTCTAAACTAGAAAGATACAGTTGCCAAAAAACAATCAGGAGAAAACTGTGGATGGGACATATTGGGAGGAGGAGTTAGATGAGGAGTTCAGTTTTGGACATGTTAAGACTAAAATGTCTAACAGACATCTACATGGAGATATCGAGAGGCAGTGATTTACATATGCCTGGAGTTCAGGAAGAAAGCCTAAACTGGAGAGATAAATTTGAAAATAATAACACAGATAGCATCTAAAGCCATGAGCTAGGTAAGATTACTAAGAACGTAAAATACACAGAGAAGAAGAAAAAACCCAGACTACGCTCTGAGGCGCGTCAACGGTAAGAAATCTCAGAAGATATACACTTAAGCAAATCAAAATCAGCAACATTCTTTGGACCAACGGGTAAAATGGGTTAGGACACAGCTTAAATGAAATAATATGACCAAAGAGGGAATTTGTTAGACATTTCACACATGTGCAAATTGGGGTACAAATTGAGCCTGGGTGAAAGCAAATTTATGATTCAGAGAAATCCAACTTCATTACTAGAAAAACAATTCTATACTTTTATTATATTCGTGGTAAATCTATGAATCATATTTACATGTGAAAGATACGTTTTTCAACATATTAAATAAAAAGATCTAAGTTATATACAAATACTCACTGAATAAGCTTTAATAGTATTACTTTATATCCTAGAAAGACACTTGCATTGCTTTTACCTAGTGAGCAGTTGCTTTGCATCCTCCCATCCGTTGAACAGCGTAACATGGTGCCAACCACACGGCCTCCCACGACAATGACACGTACATCCCTTCCATGAGACTCTTTAACATACTTCTGAAACAGGTATGGAGCTTCATGGCGAATAAGATGGCTTAGATCAGCCAAATGGTGCTTATCGCGAGCCAAGAAAACTGCTTTGCCTGTGGTCGGAAAGAATAAAAAATTTAAGTCAACAAACTATGAGCAGTTGATGTCATTACCTGCATTTTCTTGTGTCCCAATCTCCTTTTTCAGAACCAACCGCTTTCTAACCAAAGTAACAGCGTTATGGTAAAATGTATATAAAGACCAACTAAATATTTGGGTTCTTAAGATTTGTATTCCTCCAGGTTAGCCAATAATACTAGCCTCACTTAACAACAAAACATTTTTCTGAGTTAAAACATATGTTTTATATATTACACAATATTAAGATGCCATGTTTGCATATAGTAAAGTAGCAGTATGTTACTACTTCTATGCCAACAGAAGTGTCTGCTTTTAAAACATGATTATAGGGCTTCCCTGGTGGCGCAGTGGTTGAGAGTCCGCCTGCTGATGCAGGGGACGCGGGTTCGTGCCCCGGTCCGGGAAGATCCCTCATGCCGCGGAGCGGCTGGGCCCGTGAGCCATGGCCGCTGAGCCTGCGCGTCCGGAACCTGTGCTCCGCAGCAGGAGAGGCCACAACAGTGAGAGGCCCGCGTACCAGAGGAAAAAAAAAAAAGGATATAAATCCTTTGACATTCTTCCCATCAAGAGGAGGCAGAATCTATATCCTATCCCTTGAATCTAGGAGGGGACGTAATTGCTTCAGAAAAAATACAGAATAGGCAAATCTCTCTGACTTCTGAGGCTAAATTGTAAAAGGTCACACAGATTCTTTGTTCACTGGAGCATTCACTGCAGGAGCCCTGAGACTTCTTGGCTGCCATACTGGAGAAGCCAAGTAGAAACAGTGCAGTCAAAAGTCCCAGCTGAACCCTGACCCAGCTATCTCTGTCAAAGCACTAAACCTTGTGAAGTACTTGGATTTATGAATCATTTTATGCCTTAAGAAATAGTTACTTAATCTGAAGTTATTAAGATATTTTATACACTGTCTTCAAACTATATAAATTGGGATGGGGATGATGGAGTTGGTGATCTAGAATCCTTGCATTGTTGAAAAGGAAGATAAAGATATTGAGACTCAGCCTACATTAAAGTATGCATCTTAAAATCTCTAGGATAGGGGCTTCCCTGGTGGCACAGTGGTTGAGAGTCTGCCTGCCGATGCAGGGGACACGAGTTCGTGCCCCGATCCGGGAAGATCCCACATGCCGCGGAGCGGCTGGGCCCATGAGCCATGGCCGCTGAGCCTGCGCATCCGGAGCCTGTGCTCCGCAACAGGAGAGGCCACAACAGTGAGAGGCCCGTGTACAAAAAAAAAAAAAAAAAAAAAAAATCTCTAGGATAACCACTAAACGAACAGAAATGTGAGTTGTTGTTGTTCCAGCCTAGAGGAACAATTCACAAAAGCGCCTTCTGTAAGTCTGAGGTACCATGCACCTAGCAATTTCCCTACAGTAATTCTTCAGAAGCTCTGCTTCAAAAGCTATAAACTTCAATTGACAAGACTACGTCTAGTCAATGACCATGAGCAAATACAAGGCAGATCTAAGTTAAGCCTTAAAAAAATCTGTTTTGTATAACCACTTATTAATTCTCAAGAGTAATTTCAATATTATGTGTGGTAGCAACAACTCATACACACCTCTATGACCCCGTGTATTCTTCACTACCATTGGGAACTCCAGTACTTCTGCTTCATCAATCATTTTAGCAAAATTTTCATGACCACCTGGTTTGAGCAAAAAAGAAATTTAGGAACAGCAACAGAGGTGTTCTGTGATAAATTTTATCTATACTAAAGTCAGCAAGACAAGGGAGGTTTAAGGTAATAACCTGATGGCTAAATTTTGTCTTCAGTTAAACAACCACTCCTTTTAAAATGGATAAAAACTATAAATATTCTAATATACAACTCAAAGAAATTAAAACAAAGTTTCCTGATTCTATAACATTTTTCATATTTTTAGCCCTTATTTCTCTACCACACAAATAATAGAAGCCAAGATCTACTTTAGTATACAGAATTCTATTTGGATTAAGAAACAGAGGAGTGAGGCAGTTGGGTAGACTTATCCAAAGTTGAAAAGATGCTGCATGCACAGGCATGGCTCTCTCTCTCATCAAATACACAAATTAATATTTCTTATCTCTATTATAAATCAGAGTTCTTTCTACACTGAGCTATTCAGTACCCATGGGTTATGTCTTGTTCTTTCTGTTTATATTCCTAGGAACAAACGATACAGAAGCAAAGCTACAGCAAAAATGGATTGTAGTTGTACAAAATCAGCATGATGACAGAATAATCACACCAAGAAAAGGTTCATTAAACAACTGTGATATCATAAATTTTCAGCTTAGAGATATGAAGATGACCTAGTCTCCAAATTTTAAACCTTAAACGTGAGAGCACAGGTAATATTCATTAATTTGGTTAATATACTTTTCTCCTTTCCATTCTCTTAAAATCAGAATTGTAGAACGATGAAATAAGCTATATAATATCTCAAAAGCATCAGGAAGAGAGAACTCTCAAACTGTAACGGGACAGGAATTTCTTTTTAAAGCCTCGTTAACTCTCCAAGCATTCTGCTGGACATTTTAAGAAATATTTTTATGAAAAAGTATACTGATTTATAGCAAGTCTGATTCTTTCCAAACTAGAAAAACTGGAAAGGCAGGAAATATATTAACATAATCCTGTTTACAGTAGTGCTACTCCAAGTGTGGTCCAGTAACCCCTGCCTGTTTGTGACTTCTTTGCTACTGATATGTGTCCAAATAAATACAAAAAGAGTAAGCACAAGAAAGCAATTTGGCATTGCTCTGCTATTTTTACGATACTTTACGTGTACTTATGCACAGCAAATGGGTCTTAAAAAAAAAAAAATAGTCCTCTACCACAGATGATTTTAGAAGCACTGGTTTAAAGCACACCTAGTATAGTGTAATTTTCTTTAAAAATAGGAAAATATTTATGAACCATTATCATGAAAATGGTAATGAAGATAATCAGAAATTACAGAGATGACAGATTCTTTTACCTCAGGGGTTGCCACACTAAGGACTGATTTGGGATACAGCCCTTTTCTGTAATTAAGTTTTACTAGAAAACAGCCACACTCATTGTTTAAGCTTTGTCTACAGCACGTTTCACAGCACAACAGCTTTACTGAGGGTCACAAGAGAGAACTTATAGCCTGGAAAGCCCAAAATATTTACTATTTGACCCATTACAGAAAGTTTGGTCAGTCCATTCTACTCATACCATACACAGATTCATAATTCTCCTGCCCAGTTTGTTAAAACTGAAAATCGCTTCTAAGAGTTCTTCTTTGTTCACAAATTTCATTATATCACATAACCCTAATAGTTTAAGTAGGGCTTTCAAAACTTATTGGTGCTCTAAAATTTAGGCTATAAATTCTTATTAGTTAACTCACCATAAGAGAAAGTATCTGGCAGAGGAACACCATGACCTGCCAACTCTTGAAACGTCCAGAACTTATTAACACAGTTTAGGATGGCTTGAGGTCGGTTCATCAACCTGCATCCCATCTTCTCCAGATGACGCAAAACAGTGATGTCACTATCACTTTGCACCCAAGGGGTTGGTACTCTCACTACCACCACCTGAGGGTAGGCAGTAATTAGTTCTCCATTGATACGAAGACCTGAAATATACAGGAATGAAACCATAACCATTAAAGGGGAATATACAATAGAGAAACAGATATACCAAAGCTTAGGTCTCAAAACTAAATGTACTATTTTGCTAACATTTCACTGGGACAGAGAGACATTCCTCCTTAAATAATTTTCTTTTGTAAGAACAAAGAAGATGTAATAAGAAGAATGTATGCCTGGGTAAATAAATTACAGTACATGTCAATACAATGAAGTATTACATATCCATTAAAAAGAATGTCATAAATCTCCATGTTCGAAGATGGAAAGAATGTCCAGATGCATAAGGTTAAGTTTTTTTTAAAGCAATTAACTCTTGTGTTTACATATGTACAGAAAATATATAAAAATGGCTTTCTCTGAGTATGTGTGGCTGGCAAGGCAGGAAGAGAAAGGCAGAATGAGGAACTTCAAAACATTTTGCTCCATGCAATTCTCTATCTTTTTTAAGTGAGGATATATGCTTTTAGTACAAAAAGAGAATTTTCTTTTTGTAAAAAATAAATGTATTTATTTATTTATTTTTGGCCGTGTGGGGTCTTTGTTGCTGCGCGCGGACTTTCCCTCGTTGTGGCGAGCAGGGGCCATTCTTTGCTGCGGTGCACAGGCTCTCACTGCGGTGTCTTCTCTTGTTGCGGAGCACGGGCTCTCAGCTCGCGGGCTTCAGTAGCTGTGGCTCGAAGGCTCTAGAGTGCAGGCTCAGCAGTTGTGGCGCACGGGCTTAGTTGCTCCGCGGCATGTGGGATCTTCCCGGACCAGGGCTTGAACCCGTATCTCCTGCATTGGCAGGCAGATTCTTAACCACTGGGCCACCAGGGAAGCCCCAAAAAGAGAATTTTTAAAAGAGCAGTTTTCTGAGTTTTATCCAATACCATTCTATTTTTAAAGAGGTCCCAAATAATAAAGGAACAAGGTACTTGTTTCTCCTTACAACCTACTTTCATTTAAAAACTACATATACTTATTTAAATAACATTCAAATACAAAAATATAACACATTTACCTCCCATCCAACATCCTACACAGTGTTAATAGTATGTATTAACTACCAGTTAATAGTTAACTAACAGTATGTTAATAGTATTTTCCCCACCATTATCTAATTATAGAAAAATATATATAATTTTTAGACAAATGAGATACTTTGTTTACATCATTTTATGTCACTTTCTCTCATCACTTAAAATTATACCAGACATCTAAGTCAGTGCACATATAACTGTACTGGGCTCAACAGAATTATATTTAAAGATACACCACATGATCAATCCCTTACTCATGGACATTCATTCATTGAATAAACATTAAGTAATTACTATGTGTCAGATTCTTTTCTAAAAGTTGGGAATAGATTGGTAAATAAGGCAGATAAGGTCCTTGACTAGTCACTGTACTCTATATACATTTACATACCCAGGACTTTTATAGTTAGTGAGTGAGTGTGTGTGTGTATATGTGTATGTACACCGTATTCTTTATACATGCATCTGTCAATGGACACTTAGTTTGCTTCCACGTTGTAATTATTATAAATAAAGCTGCTATGAACATGGGGGTGCAGATAAATCCTCAAGATAGTGATTTCATTTCCTTGAGGTAATATGCTGGATCCACAATTCTGAGCCAAAAGAGATCTTATCTTTTCTGATTAAGGGAACTGAGGTTATGTGCTTGATATTACCTGTTGATACTTCACACCATCCCCATCTTTTACTCCCTCCCCGTATGGCAGGGACTAGAAGCACTTCCTACTCTCCCTTGCCAGCAGGATTCTATTTTGAGAATCCACCAACGAGAGACAATTACACAAAATTTTAAAGGTCAAAGAGAAGCAGAAGTCATTATTCTCCAGGGGCAGCTACAGGTAGCGCTGTGGTCATCAGCAGATGTGAGGTTTTTTGCCAAAGGCTTCAGGCATTGTCCTTGCAGTCGTTCACTGACCATGCTGCTACAGGCATCTTGAGATCAGCAGCAGCGGATTCCTGCAATCCTACATTTTCTCATTTCCTGGGCTTTTGTGCTGACTTGCCTCAACAGGAAAATCTAAACAGCATTTTACTTGAAATCAGAAAAAAGCCTAGTGACCAAATTGGGAGTTAAAAGGGGACGTGGAGAATGGGAAAGGTGAAAAGGGAACCCAGTTTACGGCAAAAGATGCTGCCTCTGGGTGTAGATATGAAAGATTCTGGTGATAACATCAAAGTAGAACTATTCTGTAATAGTTGAAGTACGGATGGGAACTATACAGATGTGTATATACAATACACATGTGTATTACAGGTGTGTAAAATACTTCATATCTGGTAGTGTGGAGTGTGTGTGTGCTTACAGAAGGAATCAGCCCAAGACTTAATACCTAAAGAAATGGGGATGTATAGGCTGAAAAAAGAAAAAGAAAAAATGGCAATTCCTAGGACTGGATTTGATGAATCTCAGTTAAGGGACACGAGAAGGAAGCAAAAACCTGAGGAAAAATGAGTCAAAAACCCAGGAAAATCTAGTTTTAAGTAGTAATATGAAAAATAAGAAAAGTCAGTGTTACCTGGAGAGAATAATCAAATTCGTTAAATGAAACAGAGGTAAAACAAAGATTGAGTTTGGGAAAACTTGAGTGATCAGGAAAAGAGACACTGTCAACTGTCAAGAGAAAATTCATCCATTATGACATTATCTTCTCATTTCCCTAAAATGGAGACACTTTTTGCACCTTTTAAGAAAGGGGATAGAGAAGGCAATGTGTTCCACTCTCGGTCTGCTGCCAACGGAAATTGGGAATATGGGAGTACTTTATCCAAAGCACAGTCCGATCTGCATAGCACACTATGTGGGCATTACTGAGGATGGAAAGAAATTCAATGCCTCCAGTAACAGACACTTTATTATCCTAGACAAGCAGAAGGTGATCCGAGACTGCCCAGAAAGAAGGGCCGGTACAGATGAATGTGAGCAAAAAAAAAAAAGGCAAAGTATTACTGATCTCTTGAGTACTCTTAGTAAATACCACTCATCTTTGATGCAGAGCTTATAAAACTGAAATATAGGGAGGATGACTCTTTTCCTTAGATCCCTGTTATTCATTATACACATGCACAATTCCACTCTACTCATTGTGAAAACAGCTATTCCAATTGAATGTGCTACCAGTCAGCTTTGCTTTCAATTCCACTTCTTCAAGCGTATACTGTCTTTTTTGCTCATCATCTTAAACAGCAACTTATGAAACTATTCATCTAGTTTTGTTTCACACTGGGATAGAGATTTCAATATAAATATTTTGGGTAAGTTTTGAATTAAGTGTATGATTAAACATTAAAAGCTGGGCTTCCCAGGTGGCGCAGTGGTTGAGAATCTGCCTGCTAATGCAGGGGACACGGGTTCGAGCACCTGGTCTGAGAGGATCCCACATGCCGCGGAGCAACTAGGCCCGTGAGCCACAACTACTGAGCCTGCGCGTCTGGAGCCTGTGCTCCGCAACAAGAGAGGCCGCGATAGTCAGAGGCCCGCGCAACGCGACAGAGTGGCCCCCGCTTGCCACAACTAGAGAAAGCCCTCGCACAGAAAACGAAGACCCAACACAGCAAAAATAAATAAATTAATAAACTCCTACCCCCAACATCTTCAAAAAAAATTAAAAGCCAATAAATAATGAGTTAACCTTAGAATAGCAATGGGGTTGGGAACAATTTTTATTCCTAAATTTTTTAGATAAAAATGTATTATGTATTATTAAAAGGCTGCTACTGTTGTCAAGGCAGAGTGAGAAAGTGCTGAGGGCTGATTATTCTCCCAAGTTGAAAGAGTCCTTTGGGATATTAATAATCTCCTTGCCAGTGATTAAGCGGGAAATCTCTCATGTAGCCTGCTCTACACCTGTGCTTTTTGAAACTAGTTTGGCTACATGGTAAGTACTAGGTGTTTTCATCCTCAGGAAATAAGGATAGGCTTATCTGCTGACTGGCATTTCTTTTTCTTCCATCCTTTAGTATTCCAGAGGATTTACCAGGACCTCTGGAATCACTTTAAAGCTAACAAATTTTAAGAATTTAAACTGGAAGTTTCCAGTGAAGGAGCTATTTGTACACAATTAAAAAGCGACACAGTCTCTGTGCCAAAAATCAAGGACGCACTCAAAGATTAAGACAGATGAGTTACTAGAACACGGGAGACAGCCTGAAAGAGCTTTCATTTAGCCAAATTTCAAAGAAAAAAAAAACTACTAACAATGCAAAAAAAAAGCTCATTAATCTATAATGATAGTGGAGAAGGGGGGCTCATTTGCTATCACTTGAGGAACTATTACATAAATCTGTATTCTAAAAACTGGTAGGGACTTCCCTGGTGGCGTAATGGTTAAGAATCCGCCTGCCAATGCAGGGGACGCGGGTTCAAACCCTGGTCGGGAAACTAAGATCCACGGGCCACAGGGCAACTAAGCCTGCGTGCTACAACTACTGAGCCCATGTGCCACAACTACTGAAGCCTGCGCGCCTAGAGCCCGTGCTCTGCAACAAGAAAAGCTACCACAATAAGAAGCCCACGCTCTCCGCAACTAGAGAAAGCCCACACGCAGCAACAAAGACCCAATGCAGCCAAAAATAAATAAATTTATTTAAAAAAAAATAAAGAAATAAAGACTGGTAATAAAATAAATAAATAAAATAAATAAATAAATAAAATAAATAAAATAAAATAAAATAAATAAAATAAAAACTGGTAAATAATGAGGAAAAACTACATTTATGCCCCCATTTCAGGAGGAGCTATTTATCACCAGTAGGAAAAGGTCTTCTTTAGAGAAGAATGTCAATTAATATAGAAGGAATAGCAAAATTAGAAAAATCACCATTTTGCAAATCCCAATGAAATATCAAAATATCATTATAAGGGAGGCTTCCCTGGTGGCACAGTGGATGAGAGTCCTCCTGTCGATGCAGGGGACACAGGTTCGTGCCCCGGTCCGGGAAGATCCCACATGCCGCAGAGCGGC